CCTGAGTGCCCGCACCCGCATGTGCCCTCAGGGAAAACCGAGTTTGGCACCTCCGGCACGGCACGGCACGGCACGGCACGGCACGGCAGGGCGCCGCTCCTCCTGCCGTCATTTTATAACGGGAAAAGGCCTTACACCGTTCGCAATCATTCTCTCAAAGGCAGAGAGTCGGTGTTTCACTTTCAAATCGCACCTGATGAGATTCGTCAGGGTATTTGCTCCCTGTGCAACTTGAGGGAGAGCAGGGCTCTCCTTCTCTGCCCGTGCGCTCCTGATCTGTGGTCCTCGCCTGCCTCTTTCCGGGACAGCGGGCAGGTCCCCGCAGCGGGAGCGGGCGGGGTCCCGCGGGGCGCAGCCCTGCCCGGCGCCCGGCGCCGTGTGCCTGGGGCGGGAACAAGCACGAGGTTTTGTTGTGCTTCTTTAGGAAACTTGCAGCTGATTCTGAACGAATTCCCACCAGCCCATCAAATCCTGCAGCTGCTTATTTGGGCAATAAAACCCCGTGTGGTTTCTAAACTCACGGAAAGAAAAAGGAAAAAGATGTTAATCCAAGTAAACTATAAGTGAAAACTCATTGATTACCTCCGCCTTCCTGTCTCTGATTTGATTAATCATTTGCCATCATGCTTTCCGAGTCACTCCTCTGTTGGTTTCCCTCTGCCTGAATCCTGTAAGACTTTTCCAGAAGGGCGGCTGTGATGTTGAGACCGACATACTGTAAACAACCACAAGAAGCAGAGCGAATGTTTTCAATACAGCTCGAGGACTAAAATAAACTCATTGGATTAGGCCAGCCCGAGCGATTGTTTTGGTGAACGCTTCCCAGGCCCGCTGCTGAGCACATCCCCGAGGGCTACCTGGGGCGGGCGGCGGTGCCGCGGCGGCCCCGGGCGGCAGAGCGGGCGCCGGGAGGAGCCCCCTGCCCCCCCCGCCCCGTCCTGTGCTGTGGGGCAGATGTTACAGTGCCCCAGAGCAGAGCCTGCCAGGGCGGCGATGCTCCGCAGACCCAGGGATGGGCTTCTGGTGGATTTCGCATGGGTGGATGGAGAAGCTGCAGGGGAACCGCGGAGCCCGGAGCCCCGTCTGCGTCCCCTCTCCCTGCGCCCGTCCCGGGCGCCGTGGTGTGCCCAGGGCTGCCGGCGCCGCTCCGGGGCTCAACACTGGGCTCTGCAACGCTTCTCGGGGCTCTTCAGCCTGGCTATCCCGGCCCTGCCCGAGCCCGCTACAACGTGGAGCTTTTTTAGCCCTCGCAATAAGTTTTTCGCCGTCTGGGGTTGACCAAAGCACCACGCCGGCTGCCCGTGCCCGCCTGCACGGAGCTGGCCTCCCGCGTTTGATGCTGGCCAGCCCCTCCTGCGAGCGGGCAGGAGCGGACCCCGCGGGGCGGGGAACGGGGGTCCCCGGTGCCCGCCCGCCCCTTCGAGCCGCCCTCCGGCCGCACAGGCCGGGCCGGGCCCGAGCTGGGGCCGCCGGACCTCACCGCGCTCCCGACTGTCACACACGCAGAGCGGAGATTTTTTAAGTAACAAATGTACTTTTTTATTTTTGAAGCAAAAATATCGTTTTCGGTTTAACAATAGCCGGATCTCGCTGAATGAAGCCTTTGCATATTTTCCTGTTTTAATTGGTTGTATAATAAACAGTCCTGACCCCGCACTCTCTTTTCAATGAGTTCAGGGTGAAACGCAGACCATGGGACTGGAAATGACTTTTTCACCACTTAAAACACTGACAAGAATACCAGGAATCAGGCGGTATTAAACAGCCGCTCCGGCCCGGGCGGGAGGGAGGGCGCAAGGTAAGAGCTGTGTGTGTGTCTCCTCACGGAGCTTGGCTCTGCCCTGCCCGCAGCCACCGCCCCCTGCCCGGTCCCGGTCCCGGCACGACAAGAGGAGCCGGGACAGAGCCCACGGGGTCCCTCATTCAGCACCCGCTACCGAGCGGCTGTCCCCGCGCGCCCGCCGGCCCGCAGGCAGAGGGCAGCCGTGCCGTGCCGTGCCGTGCCGTGCCGTGCCGTGCCGTGCCGTGCCGTGCCGCCGGGGAGCGCTCCCGGCGCCCAGGGCACTGCCACTCTCCGAGCCCGGCCAGGGCTTCAAAGGACCTTTGCGGCCTGTGCAAAGGACCGGAGAGGACGAGGAAGCTGCAGTGGCAAAACATCCCCCAGAGCTGGCACTGTCCCGGGGGCTGGAGCAGCAGAGGGACGCTGGGAGTCCGCTCAGCCTCGGGGATCAAACTCTGTCCTTCCCCGACAGAGGCAGGCTGCTTCCACGTCCGCTCCGGGCAGGGAGAAAACACCCCTCGCTCTTCTGCTTTCATCTCTGGCCAGGGTTGCATAAACCCGGGGCCACTCCGAAAGGACAGCGGCGGCGGCGCAGCAGCCCTGAGCCCCCCTTGCCTGGCTCTGGCCCCGCAGCAGCCCCGCGGCGGGCGGCGGTCCCGGGACGGGAGGAGGTTCCGCGCCAAGGTGCTGTCCCGGGGAGCGCGTCCCGCTCCGTGCGCATTCCTCCTGCCGTCATTTATATAACGGGGAAAGACCTTACACAACGCGCAAAGCCTGCGCTTGCCAAGAGTGCGGCGCTCGGCCGCCTGATTTTGTGAGGGGCCGACGGCGCTGGGCGGCGGCGCGGCCGGGGGCAGGTGGGAGCCGCGGGAGGAGGTGACGGCCAGAGGCGAGGGAGCGCAGAGCCACCGCGGGCACCCCTCGGTCCTGTGGTGGTGTTCGTGTTCACGGAGCTGGCTGGGTAGGGGTCTGCACAGATCCTGCTCCCGCTCAGCCCCTGCCGTCCCAACCGGCACTCGGTCCTGCACATCACCCGGGCTGCCCAGCGGGCCCGCGGGGAGGCAGAGTTCGGTGCTCGGTAGCGCCCAGCGAGGTTCGCGGCGGCTCCCAGCGTGCCCGCTGCCGAGACAAGCACCAGCACGCGGGGAGATGATGGCCACCCCCTCCCCAGGCCGGCGGCACTGCACGGGAGGCCCGTTCGTTCCCGGCAGTGGCAGAGGCCGGGCTGCTGCCGGCAGGACCAGCCCTGCCTCGGGCCGCCCCCCGACAGCGCCCGGCGAGCGCAGCCAGCGACGGCGGCCGGGCTCTCCCCGCGATTTCCCTGCGAGTTTACATTCAGTGCAGTCTCTGTAAAATACATAAAACGATCGTGAAAACATCCTACAGGCGCGACGGCCACGGCCGCCCGGAGCGGCGCGGGAAGCCCGGGCCGAAGGAGAGCAGAGCCCCGGCCGGGCCGCAGGTCCCTGCCCGGTCCCGGCCCGCCGCCTCCCCTCCCTGCACTGGCACGGTCAGGTATCCCCTCACTCAAAGCTGGCGAGCCTCAGCCGATCCCGGGAGTGCGTCAACGGTGCTTCAGCGTTTGTCTCAGGCCGAACGACGGCACAGCCCAGGACGGAGCCCAGGAGGCGCCGGTGGGCATGTGCGGGGGTCCGGGGAGATGCTCCCATCCTCCCTTCGCCCAGTGCCCACCTCCGGTGGCGGGGGTTTCCCTTTTAGCCTCAACATACCACGGGGGAAAGTAGCGGTATTGGCAGTACCTATCTATTAAGGAAGAAGCAGCCAAGGTGCTCCGGTGCCCCAGAGCAGAGCCCTCCGGTGCAAAGCTCCGGGGCCCCGGTGCGTGTGAGCGGTGCTGCCTCTCCCCTCCGCCGCCCGCTCCCACGCGAGGGCCCCGGGCAGGTCAGAGCGCCCCGCTCCCGCAGAGCCACCGCTGGCAACGGCGTGAGTCCCGGCCGCGTCCCGTGTGCGCTGGAATCCCCGCTTCGGCCTTCAGCCTCCTGTTACATCGGTGTTCCTGCGGAGGCCAGGCTCTCTCCGTGCCGCCCTGCACCAGCGCAGCCGCTCGGGCCGCGGCTCCCGTGCTCAGCGGCACGGCCGCCTGGCAGTGACCCCGCTCCTGAACCCCTTGTGCGTCTCTGTCCGCCCTGAGCGGAGCCCCTCGGCCGCATCAACTCTCACAGCGCCCTCTCCGCCTGGGGAGCGGGACCAGGGGGCACCGCAGGGCTCCGGGATGGCCCGGCGTGTTCCGCAGAGCCCCTGTGCCCTGGCCGTGCCCGCCGAGCGGCAGAGAGGCGGCCAGACCCCGCTCTCTGCGACCGGGCTGCAGGCTGCCGCTTCCTGCCCTGCGGGCGAGCAGGCCCTGCAGAAAGGGAGAGCGTCAGGCAGCCTGGCAAGTGCCAGGCCCCTGGCTGCGGAGCGGAGTGCTCAGCCCCGGTACCGGATTTCATCCCCGGCAGCGCTGGCCGGGGCAGCGAGCGCGCGGCCCGGGAGGCGAACACCGCATCCCGCTACTGCCGCGGCACCGCAGGCCTGGCCCAGGCCGGGCTCTGAGCGGGACCCGCTGCGAGCCCCATCCTCTGCTGACCCCCGGGCCTCGGCAAGGCCTGCGGAGACGGGCAAGGTTAGAAGCGAGGCCCAGGCCGCCGCCGCAGCCACGGGCCTGGCGAGGAAGGAGAGATCCGCCTGCGGCTCCCGCTCCGTCACCGCCGGGCCCGCGTGGGACTCAGGCCCCTTCGCAGCGTGGCCGGGCCGGGTTTGGGGCGGCACGGGACCGTTCCTTTCCTTCCAGGACCACGGCTCCGAGCAAGGGAGAAAGAAATGAAAGAGAAGTCAGGGTCCGGCACAGCCCCAGGCACAGCCCCGAGGCCTCCACCGCCCCGGGCCGGACACACGGGCGAGGTGCCGGCAGCCGCCCGCGGCCCGGAGCGGAGGCGCTCCCGGGCCCGCCCGCCCCGCACACCGCGGAACCAACGCAACGGTCCCCACACCTTGTCGGCCGCCGCCGAGACAGCCCCGGGGCCTGGCGGAGATGATGGAGCGCCCAGCACGGGTCCCGCAGCCGAGCCCCGTGCGCCGCGGCGGGGAGCGGGAGCGGGGCGGGCGCGACCAACAAAACAAAACCAAACCAAAGCAAACAAACCCAAACAAAAAACCCCACCGAACCCAACAACTCACAAACACACACACATGAACAGAGAAACTCCCGGTGAATCCCCGCTCGCCCGGAGAGAGGCGGCCCGGCCGCCGCTGCCCGGCGCAGCCCCGCGGGGAACCCCCACACTTACACTGCTTTCTTCTCATGGAGGGACGGTCCTACACTGACACTACGCGCGGGGCAAAGCTGCTATTTCCCCACCGCTAGAGTTTGGGCACAGAGAGAGGGAAGTCCGTGACTAGAGACGAGGAGGAGAGACGCGGAGCGCAGGGGAACGCGGCGGGGTAGGAGAGGGGCAGCGGGGCCGGTGCATTGCTGTGACGGCGGCTGGCCGGAGCCTCCCTAGATGTCTATGCGGGAGTGCAGGGCGCTGTGTTTGCTGTCGTGCTCCCAGTAAGAACAGTGCATCATGGACAGCTCGGCGGGCTGACGGGCGCAGGCAAACTGGAGGCCGGCTCCGTTTGCCGCCGGGGCCGCGGGCGGCGCGGGGCTGGCCGGGCTGAGCTGCTGGGGGTGGTGGGCGTGCGGGTGGTGGTGGTGGTGGTGGCCCACGCCGTTGTAGGAGTTCACCATGCTGGGCAGCGCCATGCTCTGCACCCGCGAGTAGGGGCTGTAGGACGCCGGGCCCGAGAGTCCTTTCACATTGACAGGGCTGACGTTCCCACCAGACATCTGGCAGGACGTGTAGGGCATGGGCGCGGGGGGCTGCGCCAGCGGCCACGAGTTGTTCATGAAGGTGGACTGCAAGTACTTGGGCGGGGACAGGTAGCCGTAGCTGTCGGGGCCGAAGAGGGTCTTGCCCGGCTGGAAGTGGGTCGGAGGCGGCCGGAAAGGCCGTTTCATCCTTCGTCTTCTGCGGTAGTTGCCCTTCTCGAACATGTCCTCGCAGGCGGGGTCCAGGGTCCAGTAGTTGCCCTTGCGTTCGCCGCCGCCCTCCCGGGGCACCTTGATGAAGCACTCGTTGAGGCTGAGGTTGTGGCGGATGCTGTTCTGCCAGCCTTTCTTGTTCTTTTCGTAGAAAGGGAACTTGCTGATGATGTACTGGTAGATCCCGGACAGCGTAAGCCTCTTCTCCGCACTCTCCCGAATGGCCATGGCGATCAGGGCCACGTAGGAATAGGGGGGCTTCTGCGAGGGGTCCGGCTTCTCGGGGCCCTTGTCCGCGCTCAGTTCCTCCTTGCCCCGATCCGGCTCCTTGCTGCCGCCGCTGTCATGAGCCAGCAGCGCCACCGTGTCCTCCTCGCCGTCCGTGTAGTTGCTCATCATGGTGCCCCGCGCCCGCCGCCCGGGGCGCCCAGCGCAGCGCCGCGCGGTGCGGAGCGCTGCCCGCTGCACGGAGCCCGCTGCCGGCGGCCGTCCCGCTCCGCGCTCGCCGGGACCGGGCCGAAGCCGAAGTCGAAGCCGGGACCCGGACGGAGATCGGGAGGCGCCTCTCGCGGCGCCGCTGCTCCGTGCAGCGCAGCGGCGGCGTCGTCCCTGCCCCCGCGGGCTCCGCTCCCCTCTGCCGCGGCGGCCGGGCTCTTTTCTGATTTGTATGGGCCCGGCCGAGTTCCGCTTTCGTCAGGACCCCGCTCCCCTATCGCCGCCGAGCCGCTGGGCACGGCCGAGTTCACCCTGCAGTCACGGCGCCGCGCTCAGCCCCGCGCACACGCGGCCCGACGTGGCCCCGCGGAGCGGCGCGGAACCGCCCCGGCTCGGCCGCGCCGCCGGGGGCGGGGGGAAGCGGGGGGCGGCGTCCCGGGGGCGCTGGGCGAAGACAACCGGCCCCTCCCGTCGGGGCGCCCAGGGCTTCGGTGGCCCATGAGCGGATTTCTAATTCCTCTGCCCGGCCACGGGTCCCTGCTCCCCTACCTGGGACAGACTAATTGCGGGTAAAGGCAGTCGAAGATGAAGAAACGTATTTTAACTGAGAAATAAATTAGCTCCTCGAAGAACTATTAGATTTACATATACATGTATATATGTATAGATATATAAAAATTATATATATCTATATGTGTCAGTTAGAACACGTTTCTGCATCTTCGCCTAGAGCCATAACCAATCTCCCGCCGGCGGAGGAACGTGTGCCCCCAAACCCGGGCTGTGTGATTTCGGTCACGGAAAGGAGGCCCGTCTATTTCCGCACCCTGCCACAGAGCAGCGCCCGCCGCCCCCGGGATCCCCCCTAACGCGGACAAACGAAACAGCGAAGGGATGAGGCCCACAACAGAGACCTCTCCAAGGTTCCCCTCCCCGGGCAACCCCCGGCGGCTCCCCGGCTCGCTCCGCTCAGGGCGACGCAGCAGCCGGAGCCAGCTGTGCCCCGCCGTCGGGGCCGCGCCTGCCGGGCTCCCCAGGGCCGGAGAGAGCTTCTTTCTGCCGGCCACCCATGCTGCTCCCGGCGTTCCCCCTCGCAGGCATTTCCGCGGCGAGGGCCGGTGCAGGTGTAGCAACGCTGCCTCGCGTGTCATCACCTCCGCCAAATGGCACATTCCTCCCTTCTCACTCCTAAGCCAGGCGCGTAGCTCCTTGGCAGGGCTCGCTCGCTAGCAAAGGACATTTGACATGCGAGGGTCTTGTTTGGTTTTTTTTGACAGCCCCACCAAGGGGGATTTCGGATGAACACTAGGGCAGAAGCACAGCCCAGCGCTGGGAGCGGCGGTCGGGCCGAGCAGCAAAGGTGAGCGCGCAGCCCCGTGTGCGGCTACTTGAACGTTTGACACAAGGGCAGGCAGGGTCTGTCGGGCTCTCCCCTCTCCCCTCTCCCCTCTCCTAATTAAGCCCTTTTTGGGACATGAAACAACTACCTGAAAACGCAGGAACACGCCCCTGGCAGCTGTACGCTGTAGCTGCGGTTAAGCGGAGAGCTGAGGGCTTATCGGCACCCACAGAAAAGCCGCAGCGAGGGGAATGCAAGTAACGGGGACGGGCAGCGAGCAGAGGAGAGCGGAGAGCCCTTTCGGGAGAAGGAGCGGGGATCCCAGCACGGCTCCGGGGAGCGGCCCGATTCGCCGGTGCCCCTGGCTGAGGCCGCGCCCCGCCCGCCGCCGCTCCCGGGGCCGGGCGGCGGACGGACAAACCCGGACAAGGCGGGAGCAGAAGGAGCCGGCGGAGCCGCTCCCGGGCCGGTCCTGCAGTCGCTCGCCGGGGTAGAGGGAAGCAGGAGGGGAATTAGCAGTGGAGGGGGCTCACGGCGCCGTGCCCTTGCCCCTATCTGCTGCGTCGGGGAAGGGGCTCTCGCTTTCTGCACACGAGGGTAGAACAGCCCCGGCCACAGCCCGGCCCCGGTGCGGGGAAGCCGGGAGGAAGGCGGGCAGAGCGGGACTCAATCCCGGCCGCGCAACCCCGCTGAGAGAGGCGACCCGAGAGATGCTGCAAACCGGGGCTTCTCCGCTACCGAGCCGCACAGGGTTTTCCTTCTCGACCAGAGCACGGGAGCCCCCACCGCGGCCCCGGTGCGATTTCCCCGCTGCGCAGCCCTGAGCCCGGTCGCGGCGGGAGCGCCGAGGGGAGCGGGGCACGGCGAGCGGCGGGGTCTCCGCCGCGGGCACACGGGGCACGCTGCCACCCCCACGTCTGGCCCCGGCAGCCCGGACGAGGATTCCCACGAAAGCCGTGCCTTCAGCTGAAGCGCTGATAAGACTCGAGTAGCCCGAGTGGTTTGGGTTTTCTTTTCTACTCACCCTCTGCAGGCAGCAGAATCTGGAAGGTCTGGGGTCGGTTTGTTTGAAAATGCGGCAGCCTTCCTCTCCCAAAGTTGTTTTTTGGTGCTCTTGGAGAGAAAACGTGTCTCCGGCGGGGAGCGCCGGTCCGCCTCTGGCTCGGAGAGCCCCGCTCGCGTTCGGCCAGTGCAGCCCGCCTGCAGGAACCGGGGCAGGGCTCTCTCCTCCCGCACTGACACCCGTTAGGGGACAGGCGACACAGCCCCGGTGTCAGTCCTGCGGCTCTTACTCCGTTCTGCTGCCCCGCCGCGCCCCGGCTCCCGGGGACGGACAGGCGGCTGGTGCCTCGTCAGGACGCGCCTTTCGGGTCTCCCGAGCCCGCAGCGGTCTGGGGCCGTACCGACATTATCCGCACTCATTCAGTTCACGGAGCAGCCACACGGACACGGATGTAAATGCGGCCCCAGGCGCGCCCTGTTCCGAGTCCCGTTTCCCCGAGGAACGGGATCCGCGGCGGAGCGGGGCTTCGGGAGCCGGGGAGGGCCGGGCGCTCTCGGTCCCCGCTCCGTCCCCCCAGCAGTTCTCCTTCCCTCGGCACACCCCGCAAAGCGGCCGGGACAAGGCAGTCACCATGCTGCCGTTTCAAGTATTCCTAGTTTATTCCTTTTTTTTTTTTTTTTTTCCCAAATTTTAAAAATATTGCTTTCCCAGGTACTACTGGTCTTTAAGATCGTGGAGTATTGTTATTTCCACATAATAAACCCAGAAAAAGTAGGGTAGGTGTTAAATGCGGCGTGCGCGGCTCTGTCTCGCACCACGGCGCTCCTGAGAGTTAACGAAATGTACAGCAGGAAATAAAATATTCTGGCCTCAATGAGAATTCAGCCGATTTAATCTATTAAAAGGCTGGGACGGGAGCGTTTTCCTGCGGTACCGACGCGCGGGAGCTCCGTGTCCCCTCGGCGGACGGAGCGGAGGTGCCCGGGACGCGGGGCTCCGGTGCCGCCGGCAGCTCGGGCCGGGCCGGGCCGTGGCCGCAGCCGCCTCGCTTCCGTTCCGGAGCCCGCTTCGCTCCCTCTCTAAATGACACCCAGAGGCAGGGCTCGAACCTGGGGGTGCTTTTGTCGGCACAGCGCTGACTACCAGGAGCAAAACCTTTGCAGCTTCAGCATAACCATTACGTGAGACGAAACTGAGTGCATGGCACTGCCTTTAGACCCTAAACTCTGCCTTGGAAAAGCTTGCATTTTCAAAACCTCACCTCTCACTTGGCCTGCAAATCATTTCGCTCATCTAGGAACACCACAAACACACACAATCCCACTTTCCCCTCTGTTTAGGGTTCCCAGCAGCACAGTCCCGAACATTTCATAAACGCTCTTTAATTACATTACTCAGCGTGTGACGCCAGAAGAAGGAAATATTCACCTGGAAAGTGTCTTCTTCTGCATGAATGAGTCTCATTGTCAAAACCTTGAGCCTATATGTTTTGCAGTGGAGAATTTAGTTTCTCATTTATACTGTACAGCTAAAAATTTTGGTAGCTTCAGGCTTGTTTTTACAAGCTCCCAGCTGTACAAGGATTTCTGTTTTTACAGGAAAAACTAAGCAATCCGTAGACCATGATGGCTGTACATCCATAATGTGAGCTTCATGAGGAACAGAGCAACTTTATTATGATCTGGACTGAAATCACATTGAATAAAAGTCCATCTAACAGAGCTCGAGGGAAAGAGTCACAAATGGGCTCAATTCTCTACCAAATCCAATGGAAGTGAAACGTTTTAGGATCCAGAGAGTAGATTTCCCTGTTCAGCTGATACTCTGAAGATATTTTCATGGTCCCATTTAGTTTTGAGCCTGTTCCTGTTGCCCCGATATCAAAGAAATCTATCTCATGAGAAAAGACCAGCCCCAGCCCTTTCCCCTTATCAGTTCCTGCTTCCCATCTCTCCTCAGCTCTTCTTCTGTAGCCTGAGCCCGAGTCTTCACTACAGTATATTTGTTTATGCTTAGAGAACAGGCCAAGAGGAAAACAAACTCTGTATTTCACCCCAGCATTTGGTAGTTCCTTTCTTTCATCTGAAAACACAGCCTGATCCAGGAAGGTTCTTGAATTCACACAACCGGTTACACGATGAAATGCAAACAGTTTCTTGTGGTATTAAATGGCAGCCCGCAGCAGAGTTCAGGTTGGCTGTTATGGATTCACCAGTTAGGGCTCTGCAGGATAATCCTGTGCTGCTGCCATCCTGCAGTTTGTGGCCTACAGCAACGCTGCCGAATGCTGCAAATAAAAACAAACAAGGCAGCCTCTGCTTTTTAGACAGAGTAGAAATTATGTCTTTTTAGGAAGCTCGAAGCAAAGATCGTTTGTTTCAGCCTCAAAAGCAAGCTGCTCTTTCTAGCACTTCAAAATTGATGCTTATTTTTCTACAAAGCATGGGAAAGGGGAAATAAAAAGAGGGATAAAAAACCCAAACCATACAAGTCCACTCATGTCCAGATCACCCCGAAGTTGTAAATGAATAGCATTGTACAACAAAATTAGAGCCAAAGCAGGCATCTCCCACTGTTGCTGCAGAGATACATGGCTTAACAGATAATTTTTAGGTAAGAAAA